TACACAGTGCAGTGGGATCAGGCCATGCAGACACAGCAAGGAGTGCCCAGCCACGGATGAGTGCTGCCTGTTCCTGGTGTGGTGTGTCCCTGCAGCCCCGCGGCTCTTCTTGGGTCCCTCTGCCCAACAGGGAGATGAGGAAGAGCTGGACAAGCCCCAGCACTGTTGGGGCTCTTTTGCCCTGACTCAGGATGTGCACTCCCTTGCCAGATGGTTTTGTTTGATTAACATTTGGGATTATTGGCTGTTGTGTTGCTCGGTGCAAGGCGGACATTGACTTGCTCAGGGTGTTTGGAAAACAGATACAGTGGTTTTGTAGGTGATCTAGAGGATGATGTGAAACAAAGGAAAACAAAAAGGTGCGTAGCTTAGCCTACATAAGAAGAATCACAGGAAAACCCATCCAGGTGGGAAGGAAGCAATGGTGAGGTTATTGCTGATGGAGCCAGAGAGGAAAGATCAGTAACTTCTGATGCCTGAAGTAATGCTGAGGCTAGTGCTGAGCAGGCAACGAGCTGCCACTGGTGATGTGGGCTGGGGGGATCCTGATTTCCACATGGTGCTTCTGCCTTGTGGTTTACTTTAACCAGCTTGTTAGGGTCTGGGCAAGGCAAAGAAAAGTTTCTGTAGTATATGTTAAATAGGACATAAATAATTCATATCTATAGATTTGGCACACAATAATGAACCACAAGGCCTCAGGAGATAGGCATTATTTTAATTGATTTGATAAAGTAAATCAACTCAGAAAGAAAATCTCCTAGGACAGTATAATTACAGATCCCAGATTATAACTCAGGAGCTTGCATGCTCAGGCTAGCAGGCAAATAACAAGAAAAGTCATTAGCAGAAAGTGGAAGCGGAAGACATATGGTATAGGAATTCCTCCACTTTCTAGTTCTTCATTTGTAAACTTCTCTTCAAGTTCAGTGCTTTCACCTTATCAGATGTCATTGTCACTGCTGTGAACACTCTAATGATCATTTAGATGTTTCTTAAAAAGCTCTCGCTAAAGGGAAAATGAACACAAGTAAATGCAGAAACATCCTGTTAAAATGTCAAGGACTTCTGTGAGATTTGTCCACTTGTGCCTTTAAGTGTTCCGTTTCCATCTGCAAATGTGGTGGCTCTATAAAATCAGATGTAGAGCTGTGTGCACTTGGCCTTTTTCGTGTGATTTGAATGTGCGGGAACCTGTAAGTGTCTGTGGAGTGCAGAACTACATAAACAAGTGGTTGGCCTGGGAAGAAGCTTGTGCTTATTTGTTCTCTTTCTCATTTTTGAATGGCCATAAACTAACATCTCCATAAATCAGGGGGGTCAGATTAGGGCTTTGAAGACTCCTACAGAGCTACATTCCAGGATACAAAGATGTTGATGTAATCAACTCAAAGAAAATGCTCCTGAGCAGTTTAAATACCTTTGCTCTGATGACTTGCATAATTTAACCACCCCACTGCTTGATCTAAAGGAGAAGAAAACCACAGTGTCTCTAGCAGAAAGCCCAAGGTTTTGCCTCAAGTAGCAGCAAAAGCAGCCTGTTTGTCTAGTTTTCACACCCAAAGCTCTTTGTCTCCAAACCTTGGCTGTTCTCCCATCTGCATGTGGCTCTGCATCTGCACAATCACAAGACCAAGATGCTACCTGGAGGAGCTGTGTCTGTGACAGGGATCTCCCTGGGCACCACATCTCTGGTCCATGCACAGAGAAGCTGGGAGATGTCCTGGTCCCTGAGCCCAGCCGTAGCCATAGGAGATGCAGGTAGATTTTGTCCATGTAGGGTGAGGGCTGAAGCGCACAGGTTTATGCATGGAATCCATCAGACAAAACAGGAGGTGTCAAGCTCGGCACTGCTTTCCTGAATCATGCTCTTATCCGTGAGCAAATAACATATGTCTAAACCTGCTGTCAACTGCAGTGAGCTGAAGCAGAAACTCAGTGCCAGCTGATGGTAGTTGTGTTTTTGGCCAGTATATATGACCATGAAACAGAGCAAATAAAGGCTTTGGTTTTATCCATACCTTTTTATTTATTTCTGTAGTCTGTAGTAAGGGACCATTGCTTTAAAATCCTTAGACATTTGGACATATTTTACAAGACAGTACAGTTTCTGAATGTCACACATTGATCACAGTTTCATACTACTACATGCATATCAAGACACTGATTTTTATTAGTTTTTGTAATAATTTGTTTACGGAAACAACTGGAGAGGTCAAGAAACTTCAACAAAGAATGACTAAATCAAAGGTACAAAAAATGTTAGACTCTAAGTACACCAGTATATGGCTAATGTTGCTGCAATCGCCCCAGAGTGCCAGGGTATTGAAACATTGCTTAAAAGGGGAGAAAACATCTGCTGACGCATTGCCCCTTGGGTTGATCCAATATAACCCAACGAAGAGATTGTGCAAGTCGTGCAGGAGTGGCTGGGCTGTTGGGCAGAGGCACGAAGCACTGCCCTTCATTACAGACACACGGAACTGGATTCCCCATTGCTTCCCCATTGCACAGGTTAAAAACTAACTGAAGTGCAAGGCAATGGAGAAACCTGTCATGTTCTGCCTTTTCTCAAGCTGGGTCACAGTCAGTTTCAATTTCCAGAGACAGAAGCAATTTGATCAACATGTACTAGCAGAGCCACAGGAAACTTACATTTTCCCAGGTTTTATTTGTTGTTAAATATCACATTTTTCTTTTAAAGGGAGCCCTGCAGCTTTCTTATCCTTCAGTGACTATGGATGCTCACTGCTGCCCTTTGGAGATGGCACTGGGAAGCCCTTGCCCAGGGCTCATGGACTGCTCTTCAGGCCCAGCAGCTGTCCTGTGCTTTTGGAGAAGGAAGACCTGAGCTGTTCCCCAGCCCTGTGAAGCACTGAGCAGCCACAATGTGCAGCACAGCCAAACACCACCTGGCATCCTTCTGTAGGCATGGAGTTGTTATTAAACAGCACTTGCAACAGTGCCTCATTAAGTGTTTTCTCCCCATTCAGGAACTGCTTCACGCCTGATTTAGAAAGCAGGATTCTGCTGCAGTAAGTTGGGGTGTATTTTTTCACGCTAATCTAGTTGGAAAGTGAGTTTGGTTGGTAGCTGTGGCTGGCCTTTCTGATTGCAGAGTCATGGCTTCAGAGTTCAAGGGAACATGGAAATGCTGCTCTCCCCAAACCCTCCCACCCAAACCCACCAGTGGGGAATGTTTCAATGCAAAAGCAATTTTCTGCGCCCACAACCAAAAAGCCAGAAAGAATGGGGAAACAAAGGTTCTCCATCTTTGCCACAAGCCAACAAAACAAATCCCAGTGGTCGTGTGAGCCAGTGAGTGGCTAATAGTACTTCGATGCAGTGACATGTAACAGGAAGAAGAGGCATAAAGGGCAGAGCTCCTAAATGAAATACAGAGAGTAGAGAAGAACTGATGAATCCTAAAATGGTCTTAAATGAAGATTACCAATAGGTCCAGAGGTTGCCTCACAATTAAAGGTAACCGATGGCGCCTCTGCCAGTAGTGTCCTCCCAGCAGCTGAGGGCTGGACTGAAGGCTGGGAGTGTGGAACCATGTGGCTGAGCTTGTGGTCCTGCTGTAGGGACAGTCACCTGTGAGTTTGGGATGCCACTTGGGGCATCAAGCCCATGAAGAGTGAGCTGACATGGAGGGATGCTCAGTCAAGATTGGGATAGCATGATGATCATCCTCTTGCCTAAAGGATTCTTTCCTTTCCCAGGCTTTCACTGACCTGTCTCTGTTTCCAGTTCCCTCACCCTACTGGTTTCCTTGTAGGTGCTGTGGACAGACACCTCCAGCCCTGAGGTCATAGAGAGCTTTTAGTTTTCTCTTAGCTTTTAGAGATACGGAGCCAAATTCATTAGTGGGTTAAATGGGGCACAGCTCCATTGACCTCAGTGGGCTTTTACTTACAGCAGCAAAGAATTTGGCATTTTGTGCAAATTTGGCTCCCTGGTTTCCACCAGGCTCTAGTTTGGGAGGGTCTTTGTACTGAGCCCAGCCAGATTATTAGTTTTTGAGGGTAGTGTCACTACAGTCTTGAAAAGACCCCTTTAAAACTGTCAAAGGTTAATCGTTGTTCCGTCCTACAGAATACCAATAGTATTATTTCTAGTTAAAAAGAAAAATGAAGCTTTCTCTTCTAAGCCTCTAGACTGAAAACTTCTTGTGCGATGAAGCCAGAATCAAGCAAAGCAAAATTCTGAGTAGTATTTACAGGTATGAACACTTGTGGCACCCTACCATTGGTGTCAAAGGACACTTATTTGTGGCTTAGGTAACACCAGCAACAAAGGGGATCACGGCCTGAATGCAGACTTTCATTTTTTCCTAAGGTTTCCTTTGTCCGGCCAAGACAAAGTGTCAGTGCAAGAGCCTGAATCTCATCAGCATGGGGTGCGAAACACATGCTGGAAAATAACCATGTCTTCTTAGAAGGTTGGTATTTGGGTTGTTTCTGTTGTGCTGTGGGAGGGCTACCTGCAGGGGCGAATTTAAGACTGGTCTGACTAGAAGCTTTCTGTGGTTTTGTTGACTAAGCTCAAACATGCTTACTGATATGGAAAATGCCTTTTGAAGGGATTTATGTGACCGTTGATGGTAGATATGGTGGGCTACTGCGTTAACTGCCTTTAGAGAAAGAAAAAGCCCGGCCGGCTTTAATACCTCCATGTGTGAATGGGTCTTGCTGATACATAATCAAATGCAAAACTTTGCTGGTTGTTCTGTTCATTCAGGTGGCATCTGTGCCTTCTGAAGCACGTTTTCCCAAATTAATTCGGGTTTGGGTTTATTGGCTGGTGTGGTGTGCATGTAAGAAAATCACAGAAACAAACAAAAGGAGATAGGACCAAAACTCCATCTTTGGAAAAAAACCCATGGTCAATGACCAGATTGTTAAGTGGATTCAAAAGGAAATGTTTGTGCAGAGCTGGTCTGAAGCTCTTTGTCATGCTGAACTTCAACAGGCCATGAGATAGCTTCAGGAGGAGCATTTATCTCATGGGCTTTTTATTCAATGTATGTGATGGTACAGCTATAAAGGAGCAAGAAAGATCGTTCAGTAAGCAGATACATGGACAGACTTTACCACAACCAAATCCAAATCCAGTCCCTTTCTGAACGTTTACATCCAGGTTTTTCATTCCCCCATAATTTTGTTTTCTTGTTTCCTGATGTTGTCTGGGACTGAAAATAGAAATTCCAAAGCCCAGTGCAAAATGAAAGTCTTGACCTGTCTGTTTTAACTCAGGAAAACTCCCCCGAAGGTGGGAGCTTTGCCTGAGCATCATCAGGTCACTGCCTTACAATAAGAGCCTGAATTTTGATGCTTATCCCAACTGCATCACAATTATTGAGACAGTCAGATTCAAACCCCGTCTCTTCTTTATGCTCTCCGCTTAATCGACATAAATCTGGAAAAACACTGAAGTCCAGGCTGTGGCTAGCACTGAAGCCAGGGGCATTCATTCACTGGCATTTATGCTGCCATAGCTGAGGGCAGAGTCTGGCCCCCTCTGTTTCTCAGAAGGAACATCCTAGTTTCCATAGCCAGTCCCTGGTTATTTCGAAGTGCCACAAACAGGAAAACACGAGAACACGACAACATCAGACAGCTCAGTGACCTTTCGCAGACGCACTTCCAGGAGGAATGTTGCAGGTGTTTTTCAGGACAAAAGAAATAGCGACAACAGAAAGGTTAGGGGATCAGCTATGTAAATGGACACCAAGAAAGCATCTAATATATTATTCTGTAATACAAAAAGAAGAAATCTGACTTGATTGCCCTATTATAAATTTGCTAAAAATACAGATATATATTTATATTTTTATATATATATAATTTTTTTTTTTTTTTAATCTGAACAGAAAAATAGACTACTCTGGAATGCATGAAAGTCACATGACTTTTCCATACATCAGATACTTATAAAGCCAACACAATGGCAAACAGGAGGTACAGAAGTAACTAGAACATCTGTACTTAATTCAAGAACTATTTAAAGCCATATTCTCCCCAAGTGAGTGATCCTAAAGCAACCTAAGGTAACACTTGTTCGGTCTCATTACCGTAAGCAGAAGTGACTGACCAAACATGAAGAAGTTGGAGTTAATTTGGAGTCACCGGGGAAGCCCACCTCCCCATCTCGCTCCTGACTGAGCTGCACAGGAGGGCATCGGTGCCACACGGTCTCCATTGCTTGGCTACTTTATTCAGTAATTCTACTATTCACTTTAAAATGAGGCGTTAAAAACTGTTGGAGATCATCTTATGTGGAGCTTACTGACAGAGAGAGAGAACTTGGCTTTAGAAACCTTGTCTTTGTGATGAGATTTAAATACCCTTGTTATTTACTATAAACTGTACCAGTCATAATTCTGTCAAGACATAAATATACAATAGGTACAAATATTAACAATACATTACAATTTTACAGAAGAGAATATGTTTTCCTTAGAAATGTGTATCTTATTAGCTGCAAGGGAAGAAAAGGCTACAGTTTATCACAGCCATAGTTGCCAAAGAAACCGACCGCCTCGGATGTGTTTCTGCGTGACTTGCACAGACAGATATTCCCCGGCATTTGACACACGGCATGTTCAGGAAGGGAATGTGCGTTCCGCGGGTTTTCTTTTCCTCCTTTATTTTTTTTTTTCCTTCTTCTACCTTTATTGACTTCCAAACCTCTTAGAAAAACATGGATTTCACAGGAGACTCTTTTGTTTTGTTTTTGTTGTTCTGTAAGTGTGCTTAGGTGAAGGTTCTAAGAAAAGGCACTGAGAAATCTACTGCAATGTGACTGCTGTTTTCCCATGTTCAAGGCTAAAACTCAAAGGATCTTTGCCTCCTGTTTAAGAAAACTGCACCCATTCCTTCTGCATATGTATATTTATATATATATTTATATATATGTATTAAAAACTATGTTGATGGCGTAAGGTACAAGCAAGCGCAGACATCACACATACATAGTCCTTTCAGATATGATGTCTTCTGCAGCAGCTGGTGAAACTCTGTCAGCTTGCTTGATACATGATGCACAGTAAATTCGCAGACCTGAATGCCAAATATCAGTGATTAAACTGCACGCTTTAGCTCAATGCAAGAGATATTGCATATTTTCCCCAACTGTTATGAGCTTTGGGAAATGTGTCAAACAAACTATAAAATGAAATCGTCTTTCTAGTGTCTATAGGATTTGGTGAGCGTTATGTTTTCAAAGCACTGCCTTTCCTTTTGTAATGAGTACAGATTTAGTCTATCATAGCTTTATGTCAGAGTAGATTTCCCAGTGCTTACATTATATATATGTGTATTATGCACACACACACATATATAGATACATACTTCATATTCAGACTTTATTTCATTAAAATAAATTAAACATACTTCCTTTTTAACTGGGCACAAAATGAGAGCTACATCTTCATACACAGATAAGAAAGAAATGCTCTTCAAGCATATTATATGCTTAATTTTAAATTATTTGCTTTCTATAAGAAATCTATAGGACTTTGGCTATTCAGACTTAAAAGGTAGATTTTTAATGATACTTTTGAATCTGGCTTTCAAAAGTGACTCAATAAAATGCTACTTTAAAGGTAGGACTAAATAGATGATATAAGGTGTGTGTCATGAGTGATCACACAAGGCAGACAGAGGGCCTTTGGTTACAAGGAGAGTTGCACCAGTTGATTATCAGTTATAAAATGATAGAATTGTTGATCTATACATTTTTGTCAGTGCCATCTATAACCAAATACACTAATTTGGATGAGAGTGTGGTAGATACTACACTATATGGCTATATTTAAATACGTTCACTTCTGTGAAATGTAAAATATGACTTTTTTTTCCCATGTGAAAGCATCAGCTCTAAAAATATTTAACTTGGAATTCACTATTACTTACTTTATCAAAAAATTTTTCCCTGATTTTTCCTCTTTTTACATTTGTGCTGATGGCAGACATGAATGATCACTGAAACATAGAGATTATGTTAAGACTGTTCTCTTTAAGATTTCTCATTGCTGCTCTATGGCCTCGGAAAGCCACAGAATAAATCAGTATTTAAAGCTTATCTGCTGGAAAGTCACTTGACTTTTTTCGTGATGACTCGATCTTAACTAATATCTCAGCAATACACAGGTTCCTCTAAGTACACTTGTATATACTATGGCCAAATCCTAAAGTCCTTCACCAGGCAAAGAGCCCACTCAGAGGAACGGTGGTGTTGGCTGAGGGAAGGCAGAGTAAAAGTTAATGAACCTCAGGAATTGGCCCTGTGTAAATACTCTGGAGAGTATCACTTGCACACATAGGTGCCTTGGACTCACTTTGAGTGCCTCCCGTGTCACTCTTGGCATGGCACGAGGTCTCTTTCTCTGCTAGCAGGCTAATTCCTGAGGTGGTGGCTCAGGTCTTACTGTGCCTTCCCCAGGGTCTCGCCTTGCTGCGACACAAGGGTGACATCTGAGCGGGTACCTCGGGCTGTGTCCCACCACCCGGGGATGGGGTCGGCTGAGCAGAGCAGAGTTAACGCCAACGTGTGTACAGTTTTGTGCCAAGGAGAGACCTAACAAAGCTATCACTGTAACCCATAATAGTTCCTAAAACATATATGTGCTTATTGCTTTTGTCCGTACATGCTGCATTCACTATTACGGATTACAGACAGAAGTACTCTACAGCTAGGACGGACAGACGTTTACATTCAGGACTAACCAACGGCTTTTGTTTTTACAATAGGTAGGAACAAAATGCTGCGGGCTCGAGCGGCTTGGGGTCTTCCTCCCGCCTGTGCGCCTCTGCTCCCACGTCCCGTGTCTCAGCATGTCCCTGGACCTGCTGCGTGCAGATCGTTACATGCCCCGGCAGGTACTCAGAGATAGGTCAGGAAACGCTCATTGACAGAGTTATTTACAATTGAGTTTTTACAGTAGAAACAGAGAACAACATAAAGGATTACCATCACAGTTATCACAGGACAGGTTGTGACTTGCTACAGGCGTGTAACAAATCACGGTCACAACAGGAGGCACAAATTAAAGTAGTGCTTGGTTAAAGTGCTTGATTGTTACACTCTGCTATCCTACTCCAGCATCGCAACAACAACAACAGAAAGTCAACGTAAAGTGCTTTTCCCCCCCTCCCGAGATTAAAAACCAAAGACAAATTATTTCCTACACAATTTGACATAACTTTATTGAAACAATAAGATTTTAAAAACCTAGGCTGGTGGCTGCTAGTTCTGTTCATTTAAAATGGTCAGATCCCTTTTTTTTTTCTTTTTCTTTTTTTTTTTTTCTTTTCTTGTTTCATTTAAAAATGACTGGATGTTATTAAAACATCAGGCCTGAGTCTCCTGTCTCTCGCAGCTGCTTCGTGCTACAGCTTCACAGGAGCCTCTCCTGCCCGACATCCTCACGAGAGAGAGCACAGCCAGGCCCGGGGCGGGTCGCTAACGAATCCCTCTATTTGCATATTTATGTTACACTTGCATATCTTTCACTGCGCCGCTCGGGCGCAAAAAGCTTCAAACCGACTGGTTCCTCTCCTACGCCAAGGGCGAGACTTTGGCTGACCTGGAGTCAGCGTGCCGGTGGGAAGGGGAGGCCTGGGAGCCACCCCGGTACCCCCGGCACGTCCCCGTGGGGCAGGGCAGCGAGCATCTCCCCACCACGGAAGGGCAAGGCGAGAGCGGAGCTCTCCTTCCAGCCCCATGCTCCCCGGCACCGGGAAGGGAGTCTGGCTGCGATGCCTCCGGAGAGTCCTGCTTCTGCATGGCTCCTTTACACCTTCCCAGCGTGGGCTGTGGGTCCCCCCGCGGGCCACGCGCTGGCCCTGGGGCAGGTATCGATCTCTAGCAGAGGGTAAGTGCAAGTTTCACTATGTTCTAGGGGATGTTTGGAATTAGGTACAAGTGGTGCAACTCACCCTGCTGATACTTCAAAAGAAAACGTCAGGTCCTACAGGATATCATATTGTTTAAACACACACAGAGCATTTTAATAATTGGTTTCTCTAGACTGTTATTTGTTTTAAGTGGTTTTCACTTAGATTTTCCAATACTGCAAGTGTTCCCTGTTACCCTTAGACATAATATCCATCAGAGAAAGATGTAGATGGGGAACAGCTGCCCTGAAGCAGTGAGCATTGTGTTTTTGATAGCTTTATACCAACCCCAGCAATTTATTCCAGAGTTCAAATCTGGCTGCCTTGGCATCCTTTATGGAACTAATGCAAATCAGATATTAATATTTCCAAAAGGAGCTCTAGTGTTCAAGGGGAATGGATGGATATTTGGTCACATTGGCTTCACTGGACAACATGAAAGGAGATCAATGTGTGATCATGATTTGCAATCCTTACTTTTGACTGATGTGGGCAACGTCTTTAGAGTTGTTTCAGAGAAGGACATTTTCACAAACCCACACTGGACCTCCCCCAGACTTTTAGAAACAGGTAGCTTGTTTCAGCCAAGTTCATGCCATGCAGAAGCTCTTTTTTTTTTGTGTTGACTTTAAAGACATTCCTTTAAACTTTCAGTTAGTTCTTTTGGAGCCCATCTCAGATGCTTTGATCATGTGTGTTAGCATGTCCTCCACTGCCTGGTAACACATGGACTTCTGGGGAAATGTGATTTTCTAGTCTGACAGTCTCCTGATTGCCCTGGGTTCTTCCAGTGATACCTTCCATAGAGTAAATGCAGTTTTGCCCTATCAGCTTAGGGGAGGTGGGTAAAGCAGCAGCTTCTAGATGGTTCTTGTCTGTTCTATAAACATTGTCTTTTTGCTTTAGATAGCCACTGTTTGTAACATTGTACTTGGGACTCACATTTCTGGGTGGACTTGAATCATAAAGCAGCTGACCTTCATCATCAGTGTCAGCATCTATGTATTTGTGTATACCAGCATCATGGAAGTTGAAAGCTATGGCTGACTGCATCTCTGGTGACTTTGGGGGTGTTCTCGCACTCGCGGTTGTGTAGATGGAGGGTTCTGGGCTCATGAGAGACCTGTCAGAGAGCAAGGAAGTATCTGTGCCAGCAGCAGCAGCTCCCCGGCTCTTAAGGGGGTCTGAATATATTCTCAGTACATTTGATGCTGGTACTAATGTGCTGGTGTCCTCTTCCATAAAGTTGACTTTCAGAGATCTTAGTTTTAAAGGGTTACTGGCCTTTACCGAGCTTTTGGGACTCTCTATGAAGAAAGCAGAACGGTGGCTGCCTTCGGAGCTCGGGTTCATGTCCACATATCTGGCACCGCTCCCCTCTGGCCTGCTCTGCTCCTGAATCATGTTAATGCCACCTTTGCAGGGAATGGTAGCGAGCGGGCTGTGGGAAAACCGTCCGGAGTCAGGGAACTCTGCTGCACAGCTTATGAAGCTGTCGATGCTGGACATGCTCCTCATGTCAATGATCCCATCAGTGCGAGTCGTCAGCAAGGGCACCATAGGGCCAGGAAGGGTTTCCATTTCTAGCTCTTCCTTTTGCTTTCCAGGTTGACTCGAGTCCTTTGTATTAAGGTTTGGCTGGGACTGCGTCTTTGCCATTTTGTTATACATGTCCTCTAGCTGTTGGACATTCAGATGCTGGGGACTTGAAGATGACCTGGCTTTTTCTGGAGACCCTTGTTCCTTAGTTTCAAAAGATTTACTAGAGCTAGTTTCAGAGAGTGTTCTCTTGGTCCATTTCCATTTGCTGGGAGATAAATGATTGTCCTGAACTTTATCCTTTTTGGCTATGCTTTCTCCATTCTTTTCGACCACGATGTCCATGAGTTCTATACTACGGGCAAATGCATCCTTCATGTTCATGGAAACAATACTGCCGTTCCTTTTTGCTCTTTCAAGAGCTTCCCTGCGCTTAATGGCTTTCTCCTGCCTCTTCTGCTCTTTGTAGAACTCAGAGAAGTTATTGACAATAATTGGGATGGGAAGAGCGATCACCAGCACTCCAGCGATACAACACAGTCCTCCTACTATTTTACCTAAAAGTGTTTTGGGGTAGATGTCTCCATAGCCTACTGTTGTCATGGTGATTGTTGCCCACCAGAAAGAAGCTGGGATGCTCTTGAATTTTGTATCATCCTCATCCTTTTCTGCAAAGAACACTAAACTGGAAAAGATCATAATGCCCATGGCCAAAAACAGGATGAGTAATCCAAGCTCATTGTAACTCCTCCTCAGCGTAAACCCCAAGGACTGTAAACCTGTTGAGTGCCGAGCAAGCTTTAGAATCCGGAGTATCCTCATAATCCGAAATATTTGGACTACTCGTCGTACATTTTGGAACTGAAGTACACTTTTATTGGATTCTGTGAGGAAGATAGTGACATAGTACGGTAAGATAGCTAGCAAATCAATTGCATTCAGCGGGCCTTTGAAAAACTTCCATTTCTTAGGCGACGATAGGAACCGCAAGAGGTATTCCATTGTAAACCATGCAATGCACACTGCTTCCACGTGGGCAAGTTGGGGATTATCTGTGGTCTGCCCAAATTCATCCATGCCTTGTAGTTCAGGAAGTGTGTTAAGGGACAAGGCAATTGTAGATAGTACAATAAACATGATGGAAATGATTGCCAAAATCTGGAAAGGAAAGAGAAAACAGTGAGTTCATCTCAGAATGTATTATGCTGTCTGTCATTGCCATTAACAGATGGCTCTATTTCCACTTACACGTTTCAAGACTAGTTTTGCTCATAGTACGCAGAAGTCAGATCACTAATGTATCCTGAGGTGATTTTATTTTGGAAAGTGCTTTAGTTGTGTCAAATACATAAAGGAGATAAAACATCTATTTCAACTCATGTGCCTTCATCTCTGTGCAGTCAAGGAAAGCATACCAAGCAGCCAAGCATGCCAGGAGGGCTTGAAGCAGTTCACAGCAGGAGCTTTTGATTAGCTACTAATTAGGTGCCCAACAAAGCCCATCTGGACAACAGGCTCTGAAATCTAAGCAAGAAGGAATGCAATAGTGAATTCAAGATTTGATCAGAGCAATGTCTTCCATTTAATGCACTGGTATGCCTGTAATTTTGGGTGCCTATGGCTTATTACAGAGTTGTGTGTGCAGTTCTACCACATATAAGTGGACACTCTTTTTAAAGACTCATTTCTAACTTGAAATTTGATGGTTGTGAAATACGTGAAAACTTTACCAACCTTTCTAAATCATTTTGAGCTACTCTGCATGCGACTGACTGGCTCTCCTAGCTCCTCATTGCAATCTGAGCAAACTCATCCAGGCAAACCAAACTGCACAACGCTTGAGACAGTCAAGGCAGGGCAGGTTCAACCACTGGAGAGTTCATGCATTATCAGAAACTAGCTCTTGGGCTAAAGAGTGCAATGAGAAGAGAAGGGTCTGCTGTGAGCAGCCTCTCTAAACCCACATAAATCTGATCAGATCCTGGGCCACCAACTCTACACAGAGCTGTGAAACATGAAGTGCTAGACAAGTGTATATACATCTGTCCTTCCATACCTGCAGACATTAATACTGTACGTTCCAGTTTTCTCTGATTACATCTTCTTTTAAAGTCATTTTGGGGAGGCTTTAGAGCTGACAGACAATTTGAGGGTTGTCTTTTTCTACTAGTGAATTCTTTCTCTGGTTTGTTGATTGGGTGGGATTATATCTAGTTTCTTAGGTTACTGCCAAAATACAGCAAGGATTTCAAAATACACGTATATGTGACTAATGTTTTATGTATATATTTCAGTGTAAGCAGGTCCCTTATGCTCGCTTTTCTCCTCCTTGATAGAAAAGCAGCATGAAATCAATTGCAACGTATGTGCCTGATGACTAGATACACAATATTAAGCAATGAATTAAAAAACATATGACAAGAGTTCTGCATTGTGAATTGCAAATCTGTCGCACTCTTTCCTTGCCAATATAACTAGATTCTAAGTTTCCTCAAAGTGACCTTACTCAGCCAGCCTCACAATACCAGAATATCCACAGTTACCACTTGGGCACTGGAGAAACAAATTCTTGCAGGGTTTCTTTTCAGCCGAGCCCAGTACAGCAGGCATTCTAACAGCCAGGAAATATCTGAATATAAACACTACAATGGATCAAGCCTTGCTGCAGTAGGAGAAACATCCAATACAGTTCAGAAACACTGTGGTCTTCTCAAGAAGAGCCTTGCCTTTCCTCCAAAGCTGAAAAGCAGAAATGGTCTGAAAAGGCTGGAAGCTTTACTTGAATTTAACTCATATGCCAAGCTTAAAGCTATGGCTTTAGAAGAAAAGCCCATGTATCTTAAAAAAATCCAAAGGGTTTCAATTTTGAAATTTTGATTTTAACAAGTGCTTTAAAATCCACTTGCTGTTAGGAAAATATCTTCTTCAAAGTCAATGTAATAGTATCATTTACCTTTTAACTCACTAAAACACACTATATAACTTTGATACATACGTGACTCTGCAGACGCAGTAATTTAATCTGAAGATTGAGATTTGACTAGAAACAAAAATTATCTCCATTAAACACTCTGGTTTCATTGTCTAAAGTGGATTAAATGGAAGAACTGAATGGTGTAAATGGCCTGCTATGCAGCGCTCTAGTACCGGGAATTCTAGAATAGCCTCACTTTCAGTTACTAAATTGTTGCCAGGAAAGATGCTAGGAAGATTCCTTTTCCTTTATAAACAGATTGCATAAAAGAATGTTTGTTGTTAGCTGTGGTGTGCACCCTCACAGTGCTAGGGAGCCTTTCCCCTCCTTGTCACTCCCTTCTTCTCCTATGAATTCACTGCTGAAATACAAACATCCCCACAACAACTTGTGCCATGGGGCTTTTGCCTTTTTTGAGAGACTTCTCAGGTGAAAGAACCAAAGCAGCTATGGGAAAGACTTGGGGTTCGCAAAAACGTAAGAAGAACCAAGGGATGAAGAGAAGCAGAGTAGGATGCAGGGAAAAGCGCTTGAACTGATGGTTTCAGACTTGAGAGAATAAAATCTAAGTCAAGTGCGTTATGGTGAAATGGGGACAAATTTAGATAACTACTTCTGCATTGATGTTTGTTTCAACAGACCATCCCCCAGAGATCAGGTAATGCCCCTCAGAAGCTGGGAACCTTGGTTTCCTTTCCTAGAAGGCTCTTTCAGTGTTTTTGCTGTCATTTCTTTGTTTACCACCCAACATTTCTGAAGGTGTTTGGGATGTTTTCAATGGTAATTTCAAATTTTTTGCTTGGCTTTATCTCTGCCCACTATATGCAGAAAGGCTTATCTGTAGACTTAGATGTACCTCTTGTGTTTTATCTTCTTCACTTTCAGTGTAAATATTAAACACTCCATCTTTATTCAGTAGATGGCATCCAGCCGCAGTAATTGGTGTCAAACCTTCTGTTTCCTTTGATACAGCTTCCTGCTTTGAAGATCAAGGCAATGCCGGATGAACATAAATTTGAAAACTAGGAGATCTGAGGGTAAAATCTGGTTTTGGTTTAGCAGATTTAGCCACGGAGCTGAGCAATAAACAGAAAGAGACATTCATCATTTCTCCTGCAAGTTGCAGCAAGGTGTCACTTCTGCTTCTAAGATACAGATTTTCCCCCTTATTGGTCTACTGCAATCATACATCTTCAGGAATCTTGTCAGGCTAAGAAAAACTTCTAAGCGTGACTTGACCGTCCTCAGGTATTGAAAGCAATTTTAAGTTGGAAAATACAAAAACCTGGGAGATGCCGTATCTCCAGCAGGGTTTATAGGATCCTTTTTCTCTAAAGGAGATGCTACCTTGTCCTGGTAGCATCCACCATCCAGCAAAAAGCACCCAAGGAGCCGTTGTCCACAGAAAACTAGATCTAGTTGCTGCTGTCAGGCATTAGCACTGCATTCAGTGGCACAGTGCTCTATCCCAGTGCATTTACTGTCTGGGACTTCAGATTATAGAAATCACTACCTGTCTGTTTAATAAGGTTTCTTATCTTGGCCATACTGAAACTCTAGCTTGGCAGCTTTTGCATTTGCCACTGTCAGTAATGAGACAGAAAGATGAAGGAAAGACATTTATACCACCAAGAATGCCTCTAGAGATGCTCTGTGTGGCAGGCAGCCTTTTCATTTGATTCCTGGCCTTTCCTCCTTGCCTTCCTCTTCCAGGTTTACTTCTGTTTAACAAGAAAAGCCAATGGGACAAATGTGGACTTGAGCAGGAGCAATCTCTCTACAGTGAATGAGGCTCCAACTGTTAAGGTAAGCAGACTCTGGAAAAAAGTGCCTGTTGTCCCTGCTCCAGAGCATTGACCCAAAACCTGGCTGCAGCAGCAGCTGCTAACTACTGCTTGAAATGGAAACAAGGGTGGGGAGAGGATGCCCCATGTCTGCAGTAGGTCCTACAAAACACATAGCTGAAACAATGGGAAAGCTTGCAGTCTAAAATTTGGAGGCACAACAGGCTGAAATGACTAGCCTGAGGAGCGGCTACATCAGCAATTGAGGCAGGTGAGGGAATCCATGTACTTCTGGTGCCACATCCATGAGGGCTGTTCTCCACTGTCTGTGCATGGGCTTCATTGGAACCAACGACAGGAGCTCCGAGAGAACAAGTCCTACTGCGCACATATCCACAACAAAGCATCACAGATATCCTTCAGCCGCTGATAAAGCTGATAAGTTTTAAGACTAGTTGCACAACTTTCAGACCATTTCTGCCAGCAAAATGCATGGGGCAAGCTGTGTAGTTCCCTTCCTCTTTGCTCCTGTATTTACTCTTACATTTGACCTGGAGCAACACACCATAAACTGTGAAATTCCCCATCAGGTGCTTATCTCGGTGACTTGCAGCAGGTGTTGGATGGTCTCCTAATGGCAGCACTGGCTTGAAGTGCAAATCTCAGTGTGTATAGGCAGAATTCCAGAGAAAGATTTCTCCTTTACTAAACTGACTGTTTCACAAAGATTTTTGCAGAGTTGAATCTCTGGATTGCTGCTGAGGATCTTTTGTGAAAGCTAAATAAGCCAAGGACAGGCGGGGCAAGGTTTTGAATGAATTTAAAGCAATTGCCTTGAAGTGATTAGCATGATTGTACACACATGATGGTTATTACACATGCAAATGAGACAAGCAAGCTGATTATGTGCGTAAGTGCGGCTAGTCTGTGTGCAACTGCTGCTTTCTGAGGCAGGGTGGATGTGCCATGCTTGAAGCCATTAATCCCCACCCCCTCCAAAATACCCCCCAAAATGAGGCAGGCAGCCTCTAATGTACACCTTCAGGAGATACCCACTTGCACCAGGCCTGATCCTGCTTGCTGTGTGATGCCCAAGGGATTTATCCTTTGTCTTGGATGTCTGAGCTCATCCCTGGGGGGAACAGGGCTCCCATAAAGAAGCCAGTCTGTTCAGAATTTTCCCATCAGTCTGTTGAACTTCTGATAGCATCAGCTTGTGGGCAGCAAAACGGTGTATGCCACCCCCCAGACAGCACAGAGCAGGGTAAGTTTTAGGCAGCAGGAGCTAACATTTAGGTTTGGTGATATTTATTGCTTGATTGTCTGATCTTTGCACTGCTAAAGACCTTAACTAAGGTCAAGGCATAAGACCAGAGACTTTCAAGGCCATTAAAATTAAT